GCCAGGCCCGGCTGCCCACCGCCTGTCTGCTCCAGAGTGGACCGCGGCGGGCTGGCTGAGGAGCACGGCGTCAAGGTGGGGGACCAGGTGCTGGCGGCCAACGGGGTCAGGTTCGACGACATCAGCCACAGCCAGGCCGTGGAGGTGCTGAAGGGCCAGACGCACATCATGCTGACCATCAAGGTGGGCAGGGTCTGGGGTCCGGGAGGCCATGGGGGCCCGCCGGGCTGCAGCTCACGGCACTCGGCAGCCTCGCGGGAGGCAGGGCTCGGCGTCCTCCCCTTCCCTATTTGGAGGAAGAAGAAACAGAGGTCCAGAGAGGCCCCGGAGCTCACGAGCCCGCAGGTTCCTCCTCTGGTCGAAGGCGGGTGGTCTTAGCCCTGCTCCCCTTTCTGTACCGGCAGAGGCCAGGTGGGGAGGGGTGAGCGTCCTGCCGGTGGGGGCTGGTGCTGCGGTGAAGGGCAGGACCGGTGTGACATCCCGGCACGGGGCAGGAGGCCAGGCACGCCGGGCCTGGGTGTCCCGGGAGGCAGCGCCAGCATCATGACGCTGGGGCCCCCTCCCCCACCTGCCCGTCAGTGCCTCCTCCACCCCCGCCGCCATTTCCCATCTCTCTACACCCCTGGCACCCCCACTCGGCCCTGCACCGTTCACGAGAGTGAGCACCTACTCTGTGCCAGCCCTAAGCCAGGGGCTGGGCTTTCCCAGTGAGCAGAGCCGGCGGGTCTCAGCTGGGGAGAGTCACACACAGCAGGTGCCTGCAGATGTGACTCATGCTGTTAGGACAGGAACAGAGAGGCAGGATGGGTGACTGGAGAGGGGGGTGGGTATGTGGAGAGAGGGGGGGCTGATGTGGAAGGTCCCTGTAGCTTGGCGTGAGGCGTTGTCAGGCCTTTCTAGGAGACGACACTCGAAAGGCAGGAAGGAGCTCCCCGTACGACGAACTGAAGGGAGAATCCAAGCAGAGCAAACAGCCCAGGCAAAGGCCCTGAGATTCCAAGGAACCTGGCATATCCGGAAACGCAGTGACTGGTGTGGCTAGGCCATGATGAACTTGGAAGGGAGAAACAGGGTTGCAAGTTTGCTCCTAGGCCGGGCCCAGTGTCTTACACCTGTAGTCCCAGCACTTTGGGAGGCAGGAGGATCGCTTGAGGTCAGGCATTCTAAATCAGCCTGGGCAACATAGTAAGGTTGCATCTTTATAAGGAAAAAAAAAGTTTCCTCTGGTCCTATCATCGCCTGCCCTCACCCTCCCTCTGGCCACCCCTCATGCCCTCCTGTGCCTCCCAGGAGACCGGCCGGTACCCTGCCTACAAGGAGATGGTGTCTGAGTACTGCTGGCTGGACCGCTGTGAGTGGCTCGCCCCAGTCCCCAGGCAGTTGGGAAGGGCTAGCGGCGGTGGGGTCGGGGTCTCCCTCTGGGCCTTCCCACAGCGCAGAGCACGCCCTGGTGCAGGGTGGCAGGGGCGACTCGGCGGCCCCCGGGAAACCCAGCGGCAGGATGGCTCTCCCCGCC